GTCGTCTTAGTAGTGAATAAATACTAGAATAGAGCGCTATTTTTAGATGGTACCACCATACGTATTGTATACAAAACATACGAAAGTACTGAATTTTTCCATAACCTCCATGGGGGGTCGGCGGGAATTTAACCTTAAGTAGAGCTTATAAAAAGAGCATATTTTGTATAAAATATACCTCTATCCAGAAAAGAATTAAATCCTCCAGTCACTTCAATAACCTATCTAATTATTCCAGTTAACCGACTAACACTGTTCCCACATTAAAACCCCTTTTTCACTTCTTCTCTCACAATTAAATATTATAATTAAACACAATTAAACACTTATTTAGGCAAGTAGCTATACGAGTTATTTTTCACACTATATACTTGATTCCCACGATTTATACAACTGGACTATCAGTTCACCACGCTGAAATTCTGTGTAACCTTTTATCACAAGACCTAATTTCAACAAAAAAAACTCCAAATATCCAGGATCAGTGTAACGTATCTGTGGCTTTTCCCACTAGCCACCTCTATAGAGCAACCTTATAATTATTGTATTGCACTTTAAATAATTCACGATAGGAAAAAAGAATCAGACTAGAATTTCATGATCCATTTTTTGAATCTTCATAACTCGAATTGTAACGTTTCACTTATTCCTTTTAGTCGAAAGACAGTTTTTGTTTATGTTGAAAGAACTGCGATATCTAATTCTGATCTCATGTTTACACATAGAAATCTTTAATTTTAAAGAACGTCCAAAAATGATTCTCCAGTATAAAAAACCAAATTTATACAGTATTAATCTGGTTTGAGGCTATAGATTCCCAGATTTTAAATGTATTTACCTTTAAAACATGGCGGCATGGCCATGAATTCTATCACACTTTATTAACAGCATAACTAACATGTATATTTAACAATTCTATTTTTTAAGACCGATATTAAGATGAGCATTATAATCAACATACTTATCTGTTGGATAAAAAACGTTATAAGCGTTGCTCGGGTATTAATTCTTGGCAGTATAGGATCCATGAAATATGCAACATTAACAAACTATATACTTCTAAATCACATTTCAAAACCTTCACAACCTAAAAAAACTATCTTATGAACTATTTAAACTTAAAAAACGCACGACATTCCTTAAGACAAATACATCTATTTAAACGACTTCTTTTTCACTTTTGTTTAACAACACAAGCACAATCTTTAAATAGTAAAAACCACAAGTTAAAAACTACGTTTATACGATTATCAATCTTTAACTAACTCCTCTTGATATCTCTCAGATCTTTTTTCCTACCTCTTTCGTTCTTTTCAATTCTCCGTAATAGTAACCTGCTGAATCTTATTCTTGAAGTTTGGGGTCCTCTGCTGGACCTGCCACCTCCAGCGACCCGATCCCGGATAAGCAGATATTTTCAAACTGCAGTATTATCACTTTTACCAAAGTATCTGGATACTTCCTCCACCAGTGTTAGTATCGTGTGTCTATATTTACAGATTGTGTTAAACTTACCTGTTGAATGAAAGCTTCTTCACCTCAGAGTGTCGTGGTTGGACGGAGGGGAGCCAATCAGCACCTCTGTGGAGAAAAAGAGGGATTTTTGACTTTTGTCACTCACACAAAGTTCTTAAAGCAGAAACAGTCGCTATCAGCTTGTATCGTACAGAGCGTGTGAGGAACGTGTGAATAAAGGTGATGTCAGAGTCCAGGCAGCTGCAGACTCATGGAGCGAGCAGACGCCTGAGGACAAAGATCATTTCATTAAAGCTCGTCAGCAAACAAAGAGGTCCCAGTCCCAGCAGCAGCCAGCGTCCATTCACTTTCTGACACACTGACAGCAGATCAATGCTGTTCATGTGGACAGCAGTTCTGGCTCCTCTACATGACAACGTTCACAGTATTACTGGCTGTCAAACCTCTTCCTGCCCTCATTTATTTATTCATTTTTGTGGGTTTTTCCTTCCTTTTCTTCAGACTTGAGTCCCAGCGGCTGTTAAACTCAGCAGGAGAACTCTTTTGACGCTCTGTCTCCTGGACAGCGACACGTCCTCCCACATACAGAACCTCTGATCCAGCCCGGGTTTCCGTCCTCCACCTCCTGCTGGGCTCCTCTCTGACTCTTTATCAAAGGTTTATATGCAACTTTCAAAAGTGATAAACTAGACTGAACGCTGGAAAATAAATTCCTATATTAGTCATATTTAGAATAACGTTAATGTCTGTATATATTTTATCATGTATGTCTGTGAATTAAGGATTTATTTTTAAGGCCCATCATGGGAGGGACAGTGTAAATTAGCTTTGGCTATAAGTGCTGCAGCGTGTGGCATCTGTTTATGTGTCCGTACACAGATAAACAACAGAATAAATAAATAACGTTACTATCAGCATTATATATCTGAATGTTTTTATCCATCAGAAACATCATTAGCACATTTATAACGGATATTAACCTCTATTACAATTCTCTTGCTAAGCTTAAATATAAAAAAACAAAAACCCAACTAATATTTGAAACATATAAAATGATTGATTGTCAGTAATTTATTAATCAGTGTCCATTTATTTTTTCTTTGTATCGTTTTTCTTTTATTGAATGTTTGTTTCACAATCCTGGTACTGAATGAATTTTATTTTTGTGTTATATTCACGTCTATATTATTATTATTATTGTTATTGTTTAAATGTGATTATCAATAAAGTTGTATTTAAATAAATCAACACAGACTGGAAACAGATATTATTGTCAGTTTGATCTGAAAACACACGTTGGATTTGTTATTGAACAATATAACATTAATTTACATATTAATTATTAATTTACATAAAATAAAGATTTTACTGTTACTATTACTTATACATATATAGTTTATAAAGACTACATTATATCTGCACTGTATATTTATAGTATACATGACCTTTACATTACACTGCTGTATATATTTATTGTCCTGTTATATTTATTTCTACAGCGTGTTTCTACCTCCTGTTGTGATCATCTGTCACATCTGTATATAAAAAGCTGTATTTAGTGTAAATTTAACTCCTATTTTATATTTCTATTACATCTTATATTTTTTCTATTAAATTCTGATCTATGTTGTATTTTGTAATCTATTGTGTTGTATCTGTAACAAGTGAATTTATGTCTATCTTATCGTATATTACCTTTAAACAAACTAATTGTTGAAGTTATTGATCAAAATTATTTATAGCAAATTCTTTGCTCCAAATCTAAAAAACTGGTTTAATAATAAGTTAAATAAATACAGTTTAAATTATTTACATTGAGTCAATGTGAAATATTTTGTATGATTGATTACTGATTAATGCTTTACTTTTTCTTAAACTCAAACTATTGTACTATTACCACCATCTTGCAACTACAACTCTTTGCA